CAGAGTACTCTGCTGCTCGGCTGCTACCAATTCTTCGGTGAACTGGGAGAAGGACCAAGGCCATTGGCACCCCAGGGATCTGAAATTGGCAGTAGGCCCGCACCTAGCACGGCAGACCAGGGTTACGAATGAATGCCACAAAGGCAGGAATTTCTGCTTGGCAAATGATTTGCATTTCCTTGCCTAACATTCCCGTTCCATCACCTTGTATGTCATTGGAAAATGAATCCTGGCATGACATGGAAGAGCGTACTTCATCCCACCTGCAACATTTGGAATCAGTGTAGTGTAGTGAGAACAGGATTTGTGCAGGAATGGGAAAAGCAGCAATGGAATAATGCTGGTTTGATGAGCCAGGAGTGGTCTGTTTGGATAAAATAAATTTAAAAAACCCCAACTCATTGATATCAAAAGTGAAACTAAGTGTTTTGCTGCCAGTCTGTACTTGAAACAAAACTCTTAATCAAAGCAATTGCTCCAGTAATGCCAAAGCCATATAAATTAGAGATTAAATAAAAGAAGCAGACAAAACTAATAACTGCATTATGACAGATCCAGAAAAAAGAGCTGCTGGAGTTCAATATATAGTAAGTGATTCTGTTGGTGTATAAAGTCATTGAAGAGGCAAATGGGACCTGCTAACTGTGAAGCATATAACAAATATTCTGCCTTCATTCATAATTAAAATACCTGAGGGTAGAATACTCCAATGGAATAGACAAAGCCTGATAAAAATTGAAAAAAGAAGTAAAGACGGCAGGAGGCAAGATCTGGGAAAGTCAAGTGAAAACTTTGAATTCAAGATGAACAACAGATGTCACCTGTAGGCACCTACCAAAGTTAAACAAGGGAGCAAATGAGAGTTGTCAAATCAAAGGGGAAGATTTTTGCAAGTTCTTCCCAGAAGAGCAGGGCAGACAGGTGGGTGTTTGCCAACCATCACAAGCCTTCGCTTCCAGTTGGAGGATTCCCCAGGAAAGACCATAGGACTAAGAAGAGTCTCTAGAGTAACTGTATCCAGTCTCCTGCATTTGCAGGCAACCATTTGTTCAAGGAGTCCACAAGAACACCCTCTCTGACCTTTTTCTCAAGCCATAGCTACAGTGCACCCTATGAAAAACCCCCCAAACTACAACACACCACAAGGAAAGGGTGACGGAGGCATGTGCTGCTATGCCTTGCCACTGCAATAACAGGAAGTTTGTTAGGTTTCTGAGTGTCACAGATGGGTTTGATCTTTTGCATGGGACTTTCAATAGGACACACTCTTTGAGTCTCAAATCTTACCTGAGAGGCTTTATTTGAATTTCTTTCAGCAAGCTGTGAAAGAAGCTGTGGATTAGAAAACACACCAAGGCATGCACAGTCAGTACAAGAAGATTGTGGGTCTTTGTTCCAACCTCCCATTGACTGGTCCATGTGAAAGGGTCACATGTTTCCTACAAGCTGGAGAGGTTGGTGCTTTTAGTTGAGATGCTCCAGAGTTCAAACCCCTCTGCAAGCTGAGTTATAAAGCAATGGCATAAACAAGGGGGTGTAGCAGGGAATGCAGCTCCCCCTCTGGTAATGTGGTTTGGGTAGATTGTGCTCTCTGGTCTCCTTGGCTGTTGCAATGAGAAGTCCCCTTCCTGTTACAATCTAAGCATTGGTTACAAAATAAGCTCACCCTGTGTTAGGGGTGGCAATTATTTGGGCTGGAGGGTTGCTTAAGAAGTTTACGTGAGCCGTTGCTGGGGGCGGGGAGGGGGGAGTGCTGATTCAGCATGGCAAAATGGTGGGGGCAGGGAGGGCAGAGTGGGGGCATTTGATCCAATCTGGTTCCAGCCTGTCACCTCCACATCACCACGGAGCGGGTGGGCGGGCAGGGTCTCCAGAGAGACTGGCTGAGGACCCTCGTAGTCAGGGTGCACTCAGCCGAGCAGATGGGATCAGGCCACAGGTGGGCAGGGAGTGGTGTGCGGGAGTGGAAAGGGAGAGCAGGGCCAGGATCCCATCTGCTTGGCTGAGTGCACCCTGCCTGCGAGGGTCTTCAGCCAAGGCAGTGCCAGCGTGGGGCCAGGGCCAGAGCTGTGACCCGTCTATGCAACAGGTGCCGGTTCCACAGGCAGGGACGTGTGTGGAGCAGATTGGGGCTCTGCCCTGGGCCCTGGCCCTGCACTGTCACTGACCGGTGATCCTGGAACTGGCCCTGGGCCCTGGCTGCCCATCCCACTCCTGGACACCACTTCCCATCCTCCCGTGGCCCCATCCCACGGGGCGCCCGGGCCAGTTTCCATGGACACCCCCTGCTCCCTGTCCAGTGCCCCTCGGGCAAGGCAGACAGGCCAGGGTGCCTGGGCAGCAGGGCCAGGTCCAGTGGCGGCAGTGGAGACACTGGCGCAGCAGTCCAGCAGAGCAAGCCACTGCCACAGGGGCTGCTGGGAAGCTGGGTCCAGCCACTGCATCACCCCTGCCCTGCTGTGCATCCGGGAACAGTGGGACTAACTGCACACACCATGGCCTGGGCTGCCCCCACACCTGAACTGGCCGGGGCTGAGAGACCGTCCGCAGGCTGCATAGAATCCCTGGGGCTGGATCTGGCCTGTGGGCTGGGTTTGGCCCACCCCTGCTCTACCTTTATGGTCCTTCCCTCAGAAAATAATCAGCCCATTCACTTATTTCTGCCTCTCTGGATCTCTTTCATTGTTGTTCCTTCGAGCAATGCTCACCAGCACCAGCAAATGCCGTCAAAACGAATTCCATAAGTAGGGACCTACCCAAATCAAGGAGGCAGGTTGCCGGTTTCATGGGCAGATAAGTGTGTGTGTGTGGGGGGGGGCATCCACCATTTTCCCAGGACCCCCCACACCCCTGGGTGGTCCCACTCTTTTCTGCTGATTGGTTGACAGGGCTGTCCATTATATGGCCCCACCCCTCACCACTGATTGGCTGAGAGGGTTAGCTGCCATGTGGCTCCACCCCTTGCCAGTGATTGGTGGGGAGGGTTGGGGGTCACATGACAGGCAGCCCTCTCAGCCAACTAGCAGCAAGGGGAGGAGTGGCCACCATGCTGTGCTGGCAGCTCCTCTTCCCACCAGCAGGTGGGCCACAGTGGCCATGAGGACTGCTGGCTCCTTGTGGGGAGCCAGCATTTTAAGTTTTTTCCCCCCCATTTATTTTATGGACAATGCCCATTTTCATGATTTCCATGAAATTGTGAATTGAGTAGGTCCCTACCCATTAGATGCAGCTTGTTCTTTCTAGGCAGACTCCTGCCTGAGTAGTTTGCATCAGTTGCATCCTGCTCCTGGCAACCTCACGGGGCAAATGAGGTGGGGTAGAGAGAAAACAGAATAGGAGCCCTTGTGCAGGAAAGGATTTCTGAAATATGACATTTTTTTGCAATGTGCAGACTCCTGTCACCAAGGGGCTCGATGGCTGGGGCTGGCAGCTAGAGAGCTGATGCGTGGTGCAGGAGCAGAGCCCCATGGGTGAGGTTACACGTTTCACTCGAACTGGACTCAATGTGTGGGATGTGAAGCAGTGTTAAAGCTGGAGCGCGCTGTGAGCAGTCGCACATAAAGGGTTAATACCATTTCTTGCTGCAGGGTCTGACCTGTGGCTAGAGGGCCGGTGAGCAAGGGTGTGCCTGACAGCAAGGACGTCTGGGCTCTATCCCTGCTCTGGGTGGGACTCAGAGCAATGCATCCTGGGATGCAGGAGGACTGACTACACATTGCTGGTTTTCTCTCTTCTGGAGCAGACAGAAGTTGCCCTAACAGGAGCTAGGCAGCAGGGCCCAGAATTGACTCTCTTCTGACGTGGTGTAACTTTGAGACTTTGAGTTCCAGTTGAAGTGGGATAGAAACCAGCTCTAGAGTTGTTACGGGTTTTCAAGCACTAACTCTTTTTAGCCAGATCATCCTTTTTGAGGTGTGAATTCCCTTGCCACCATGGCCCCTCTAGATTTACTGCACACTCAGGGCTGGACACAGGACAACCAGACTGTCCTCTATGGCCTGAAAATGGTAATTTTTGGATTATTATTATCATTATCTCTGGTGAAACGGGGCCTGATGCTAAAAGTTCACCCAGGGCGGATAGGAGTCTGGGTATGGTGCTGCGTGCCATGAACCAGTTAAGTGCATCATCTAGGTAATGGGGGTGGAGTTTTTGGTTTGGGTTTTTTTTAATATAATTTGTATCCGAGGCCACATTAGCCCAAACCAATTCCAAATCCAAGAGTCCAGAACCATAAGTGGCCCTACTATCGGCAAACATCCTCCACCCGCACCTGGGGCTTCAGTTGTTTCCAAAACCTTTGGCGGGCATCCCACTTGCAGGCCCAAGCCCCCGAGTTTTGCTTGCCCTTTGCCATAAGGCCCTTGGAGCAAGCTAGGGAGGAGACTCCATTGCCACTGCACCTCGGCAGGTACCGAACCACGCCAGAAGAGCGGTTCTCCTGTGAGGAAAACTGTCAGATATTTCCCTTGCCAGGTTAAGAGGCCACAACCCTTGATCTGAGCCTTTAAGAGCTTGATCTGGGCCAGAAGGTGACAGGTGGCTGGGGACCAGCTTTGCCCCGAGTGCTGTAACTTGCCCCGTGTCTCCCTACCTTTAGGGACGAGGTAGGTTTGACCCCCCCAGGGCCACACACACTGGAAACGAGAGGGGAAGAGCCATGCTGGGCTCTCCCCTGCCTCGCGGGGGGACCTGCCGGGCCAGGAAGGGGGCAGCGCCCGGCCCAGCCGGCGGCGCGGGGATGCTCCCCGGCCCCTGCCTTGCAACCTGCGCTCCCCGGGCCGGGGCGGGCGAGCCGGAGCTCGCCTCCTTGGCGTAGAAACAGACGCTTCCGTGCCTAAACACAATAACTCAAGTCATGAGACGGCCTCGCTCCTATTTCAAGAGCTGGGAGGAAATACAGAAAGAAAGAAAGGAATAAAATAAAGAACTCCTTCCCCCCCCCTTCCCGAAAAAAAAAAAATAAAAGAAGCCAGCCCGAGCCGCGGCGCCCAGCGCGCCCGCGCGCCGCCGAAGTGCGGGAGCCGGCGGGGAAGTAAGTGTGCAGGACACGGCCCCGCGCGGCGCACGCGGCAGCATGAAGGAAAAGGCAATGATCAAAACCGCGAAAATGCAGGGCAACGTGATGGTAAGTGGCCGCAGCCCCGGGCCCGGCCCCGGCCCCGCGGCTCGTGCCTGCCCCAGCCCCAGCCCCAGC